GCTGCGGCACCCGCGGGCGACGAGGGGCTGCGCGGGCCGCCCCCGCTACCCGGAGAGCCTGGCGGTGGTCTCCAGGCTTAGAAAATGGACACGCGCTGGCCTGGGACCAGGTCCACGCCGGGAACTGCGCATCCAGCCCTGTGGCAGAGCGTGGTGGGCGCCCTGGGGGTGGGGGGCGGGTGGGTGCGGGGCAGGGAGACGGGTGGGAGCAGGTGGGTGCTCCGGGGATCCAGCAGGCGAGGTCCTGGGCGCACATAGCTGCCCCCTCGGGCCGCAGCGCTGGCCCCAGGCCCCCCTGGCGGGTGTGGAGCCCAGGCCAAGACCGCAGCAAGGGGCAGCTGGTGCCTGGACAGAGCATTTGGAGGCGCACAGAGATTGGGGGTACCAGGGATGTGCAGGCATAGACCTGGACCAGGTGCAGGCAGGGAGCGTGGGTGGCATGAGGGACAGAGGCAGGGAGGGAGGGCGGGGGTCAGCCCTGGGCGGGGCAGCCGCTGACACTCAGGGACACAGAGCGCACAAGAGCACCGGGAGAGATCTGTCCCTGCGTCCCGCACTTGGGAGAAAGCAACGTCCCCACTGTCACACTGTCACTGCCCGGCTGTGACAGCCCAGGCCGGTTCCCGTGGGAGCGACGCGGCTCACACCGGGTAAAAATGGCTCTGGAGGGAAACCTGGGAAAGCCCGCTGGGGTGAGTCCACCCGCCGCCCGCCCCCACACCCTGCTGACCCCCACAGACCCCCCCGCTCCCCCTACAGCCCCGCGGACCTGGCTGCCCCCCCATGCTTGGTCGCCCCCACCCCGCTGTCCCAATTCCTGTCCAATCTTCCCACGGGAGAGTTAACATGGGATCGGGAAGGGCCCCTGAGGCGGGGCTGGCCCCGGCCGCTCCGCTGGGGGCTGGGACTCCTGTGCTCTCCCCCATCTCCCCCAGCGCGGGGATTGCGGTTCCACGCTGGACCCCGCCCCGGGGCGTCCCAGGCCGCAGCCCAAGGAACTGAGCTGGCACCTGCGCCCAGCGCCCAGCGCCCAGCGCCGCCCCCTGGGCCTCACCTTTCTATTCCTGGCTTGACCTGTTATTTAGACCTCAGTCAATTTTAGCATTTTCTATTTTCACATCTAATTCTTCCAAAACATGGCTGAGAGCTCCTTGGCTGCAGGAAACTGTGACTTAAAAATATCTCGCTGCTGTACCTGGGCAGGTCAGCCGGCTGCAGGCTGGACCGCGGAGCGGCGGCTCAGCGATCAGGCGCCAGCCCTTTCCCTTCGCAGAGGCCACACCCGCGGAGGAGACCTGAGAGGCCAGGAAGGCTGGGAGCTGGTAAGGTCACCGCAAGCCCTAAAAGCCTCCCCACCCCCAGCGCCCCTTGTCCCCGCGGCCCGCGGCGCTCAGGGGCTCCCTGCCCGGTCTCCTCGGACTGCCCCGCTGGGCCGCCCGCGCGCAGAGCCGCGGGCGGGGGTGTTTGGCCGCCAGGCGCTGAGTTCGTGAGCACAGGGGCCGCCGCCTCACGCTTTCATGAACAAAATGACGACTCGGGAGCTCTCAGGTGCGACTAAAAATAAGACGCTCCACGAGACCGAACAGCGCGCAGAGACGGGGCCTCCGGG